AAGTGCGCCTATGAACCCAACTTGTGTAAATCCATTGGTATTATATTATGTAAAGTCGACTTGAAAATGTACTAGATACTTGGCTTTGGAAGAAAAAATAGAACTTGCAACAAAATGATCTTAAAAACTCTAATGGAATCCTAAAAAAACTCCAATTAAATTATAACAATACTAATCAAACTTTAATTAAATCAAAAAGAAGTTTCAAGAACTCATAAAAAAATATAAAAATAATAAATGAATCTTAATAAAACATATATATAATATAAAAATCTTAAAGAAATATCAAAAATAAATATTCTAATTGCATCTTAATCAAATTCTAATGTAACCTTCAACAAATTCTATTAAAATCCTAAACCAATTCTAACCAAATCTTAAAGTAAATCCTAATAAAATTCTAATAAAATCCTATCTAAATCCTTATCAAATTCTAATCAAATCTTAATCACATTTTAGAAAAATTATAATCAAATCTTAGTCAAATCCTAAATAAATTCCAAATCCTAATCAAATCCTAAATCTTAACCAAGTCCTAAATCTTAGACCAATCCTAATCAAATCCTAGAAAAATCCTAAATCTCAATCAAATCTTAAATCTTAGATTAATTCTAATTAAATTATAAATTCTATTTCTTAATTAAATCCTAAATCAAATCCTAAATAAATCCTAATCAAATCTTATATTCTAATTTAATCATAATTAATTTTAAATCGAATCTTTAATCTTAAAAAAATTCTTAAATAATTTCATTGCAAATTAAAAATCCAATAATTAATTCTTGAACTATGGATTTTAACTCAATTTTTTTTAACTTTGTAACAACTAAATTAGCAACAAGCATAAAGATTTTGAAGAAGATTGTACATACCAATTGCAAGAAAAGCTCCCAAAACCTCTTGGTTATTGGCCACCTATTTCTCTAACTTGTATGTTGATATTTTAATAAAGATTATTCCTTGATAAACTACTCAATTATTTCAAAATTTGAATTGGATGTAAATATTCAAGTTTGAATTTTTTTATTAATTTCTTTTTCAACCAAATTGGAAGATATTGCCAGATTATGGTCTAAGATAATTGAGATTTAGGATCAGTGAGGGAATTTTTTTTTCAATCAAATTCCCTCATTGATCCTAAATCTCAATTATCTTAGACCATAATCTATAAAATTCTTATATTCTTCAATCTAATTATTTAATTAATTTCAAATTTTTCATATACATTTATAATAAGCACAACAATAAATTTCTAAAATTTTACTTATTTATATGCTACGAAAGTTTAAAAAATTGTCAAATTTATAAACATATTTTTATTTCTTTATATTTAAACCACTAAGTACATCAATAATTTTAAAAATCTCTCAAAACCTTAATATTAATTCAAATGACATGAAACTAACTTTTAAAAATTTCTTTTCTAATTTGCTTTTAATTTCTACTCTTTGATTGATAAAAAATCCTAAAAATAATATAAATGCTTGGTTTTGTGCCTCATAGACTTATTTCAATTCTAGTAGGTAACAAATCCTCTCCAAGTACCAATTCTTATTTTCTTGAGGTACTTTTTACTAAAATCAATTTCTAACTCCTTCTTATATATGTTTATATCTTTTATTTTTTTAATATTTTATTTTTTTCTTTATTTATAGTTATACAAAATAAATAAAATCTATTTTATAAATAAAAAATTAATATTATAAGATTTTATTACTTACCTATCTTTTATCTATATTTTTTTATTATATCTTTTTAATTAGGATCTTTTATAATAAAACACTTTCTTTCTTTCTTCACTTAATGGTCATGTTATTACTTAATGTCAAGGTATTGAAAAAAATGAAACCTTAAATATAGCTTAACTTGTTGCAAAAAACCTCAAAATTTTAATTTTTTTTCCCTCAAATTTCTCAAGCGTACTAATTCTTGCCTCTTGTATGCTTGTAGAAATAAGATTTCTTGAATTTAATTGTGAGGTTGATCTACTTGCTTCTTTCAATTGCAAAACTTTTTGGCATAGACTTTGGACTTCTTCCATAGATATAGGAATATAGCTTCTGTAATTAGCATTAATAATGTAAAAAAATTCTACTCTAAGAGCATTGATAAGCTGATGAAGATCTACAATAGTTAAAAATCTATTCTTACTTTTGCCAAGTATAGCTTCCATAATTGGCATTGACAATATATGAAATTTCTATCCTAAGAATGTTGATAAGTTGGTAAAGATCTATAATAGTTGAAAATGTATTCTTACTTCTATCAAATATAGCATCTATGATTTTTTCTTCTATTTCAAATAACTTAATAAATCCACAAGTCAAATTAGAGGAGGATAATCTACAACTTTTAATGTCAAATAAAGTTTTTACAAAGAAGGATGATTTGCTCTTTTTAAGAAAAAATCAATATTAAAATATTAAAATATTTATTTATAGATAGATATTTTGCAACCTTTAAAATACAATATTAGAAGTAGAATAATTCACTCATTTCTAAAAAAGATGAAAACAACATGTTAGTACTCTTGAAAAATTGTCAAGGACATGAATCTTAAAAAATTCAAAGATCAAAATACTCTTATGTCACTCAAAAAGACTAGATAATCATTCAAAGATAACATACAATTAATCTAGAATGGCTCTTACCAAAGACAAGAAGACTAGAAAGTCTTGAGAAAAGACTGAGAACTAGAAAGAAATTAATAAGAATAAAGAAGGCTTCACTCTTATCTCCTTATATACTATCTAACTAAGAGTTATATAGCCATGTTCTATAGGACCTCCAACATGTGTTGACTTTGCTAAACACATGTCTTAACTTACAAGGCAAGTTTTTTATATGTGTGCCACATAGTTAACTTGTTCTATAAGCTACAAACATGTATGACACATGGCTTACTTATTGACCAAATTTCTTACTTATTAATTAACTACAAATACGTGTAAATTCAAAGCAACATCTGTGTAGCTTCTAAGAAGCTTCTTTAGTAGCTATTATGAAATTAATCTATTTTTATCTACTTCTATTTAATCATATATTTAATTATTAGAATAAATATATATATGAATGAAACATTATTAGCTTCTACCACAAGCTATCTATACATATAATACATGACTAACTTATAGATTAAGTTTTTAATATACCAATCAACTATAAACATGTATAAAGTCAAATATGCATCTATAAAGCTTCCAAGAAGCTCTGCCAAAAGATAATATCAAATCTACTTATATTAACCTTCTACCTATTACTTCTTATCTAGATAAATATATATATATATATATATATATTCATAGCATTATGCTAAGTTGATTCTTTTAAATTATCTTTAATTAATCAAGTTGTTTAATAATATCAATAAAAATTATCAATTTTTAAATAATTATATATATATATATATATATATATATATTTTTCTTATAATTTTTTATTTAACAAAAATAATTTTAATAAAAGATTCTAAAATTTAATCTATATTGTCATATAATTCAATAAATAATATAGTATTTTTTAATAAATTAATTATGCTTAGAATATCTTTAATTTATATTTTTAACTTCTTAAATAAAATTAAAAAATATTAAAGAAATATATGTAATTTAAAGATGATATTATATATAAAAATAAGTTTATTGATTTATCTTTATATAATGTCTTGTATATGTATTGAAGTTTTTTCCTAAGAATTGAAATATATGTATATATTTGGAGATTAAATACTTTAATTGGTTTTTAAAACTTTCAATAATAAAAAAAAGACTAATACATCTTAAAGTTTTATTTTGTAATTACAAGAAAGTTTTGTCAAAAACATCTACAAAGAATAATATTGATTCTATTAAAAATTCTATTTTTCTTTTATATATATAAATAGCTTTTGGAAAATGATGGTACTGTATTTCAAATCTATTCCAAATACTAGAAATATCTATATATTATACAATTGTACAAAAAACTTCTTTGATGTAATAAAAAAATAAAAAAATAAAATAAAACCTTTTTAAAATTTTTGTAGAACTTTGAATATTAAATAAGTTATATATTTTTTATTAATAAAATATACATTCTTAATAAAGTAATATATAAAAAAATCTTATCAATTTTTGAATCTTTAATTTTATTTTATAATATAAAAATATATACCAAATAATAGAAAAAAGATTGTGCACATTATAAAGAAAAATAAAGAAGACTAATAAAATATTTAGAAAACATAATAACGGGTATAGAATAAAAATAAAAATAAAAATCTCTTAATTTTTATTCTAATTGGTATTAAGGGATTTTTTCAACAAGTCATGAACTTATTTCAAAAGAAGAACAAATAAGATGATAGACCAATCAAAACAAAGAACACAAGTGGAATAATTTTGCAATCTATTGGTTTTGTGTAGATATAAATATGTGTATATGTATATAACCTATTTTTATATCAATGACATCCTTAATATTGTTAACATTTTAAAGTAAGTAATTAAAATTTATTGCTTTAAAATAATTTCTACAAAGATTTTATATTTTCACATGCAAATTTAACATAAAGAGATTAAAATCTTAATTTTAATTCCATGAGAGCTTCACATTGAGTAGTCTCTCAACCAACCTAACTTATCTTCCTATGCTTTATTCTTTCCTTAACTATTTATATCACTATACACAATTTTTGTGCATCCCACCAATATTTCAAACACACATTAAGATGTTCAAATGTCTAACACATCTTCACCACTTAAACAATGATCAACAATTATCACCAACTTCAAAGCAACATTTACTATTTCAACAACCCACAATGCATATCCCATTGGAGAGGAATAAAGATTTTTCCTGTCCTTGTGGATACAACCCAATCCAGATTACACACCCACCACTCTTATCCAAAAGGTTCATATCCAAAAAAACGAGTAGGATATGTTCCAATTGCGGATGAAAAGGTAAATAATTAATTAATCAGCACCAGGCAACAGGAAGAGAGTTGTCCTAGTGGGGGGAGATGGGGTGGGGATCATTTGTGGACTTGGTGAATAACAATATATTATTATTATATATTAGTATCTTTATTCTACTACAAGAATCTCCCTCCTCCTTTGTGGCGCACTCTTGTTGACGCTCTGATGCCGACAGTTTGAAAACACACACACCCACAGAACCAACAGAACAACATCCGGCCTCGTACTCTCCGCCAGGAGTGTGAGTGTGTGTCCTAAATCCTGCTGCCATGAGTTTATTGTGTGTATGCCCACTTTTTGGATACCCACAGAAAAAAAAAAAGAAAGAGAGAGAGCGAAAGAGAGAGTGAACGAGAGCTCCATTCCATCTCCGAGCTGCGAATGCCTGCTTGTCCAAAGCTTGTATCTTTACAAGCACAAGGTGAAGCGCACACACACACAGATCCCAGCACAGTCGGCTCACAATCTAGAGCTTCCCCAGCTCCCACACACCCACACTTACACAGAATAGAGCACTGGGTACCTAAGCTGTGGTCTTCTAATCGCTGCGTGAATAAGAGGATGAGAGTACCGCCGCAGGCCTTCATTGATAGCAGATGTGCAGCAGCAGCAGAGAGAGAGAGAGAGAGAGAGAGAGAGAGGGCTTGGGGCAAGACAAGACAAGACGACGAGATCATTCAAGTGATTAGGCAATCAAGTGAAATCCAGCTCCACATCCTGGTTTCGCATGTGCGGATGCGATGCGCAACGCCAGGGGCTTACATGTCATCTCCTCTTCAATCCCAAGTTTTAACTTCGAGATGGACTACAAAATAAAAGCAGAATTGCAATATAGCAAAAATAAAAATTAATAAAATTTGTGTAAACAGTTGGGGCTTGTTCACTGAGAGACGACGACGACGAGGAGGGAGGTGGAGGAGAAAATGAGATGGTGGTGATGGATTAATTCCACAGGTGTTTGATGTTCCGTTGCTAGGAAGGGCTGCTGTTGAGGTTGTTGTTGTTATTGTTGTTGTATATTCCAAAGGGTCATGTCCGTTGGAGAAGACCAGAAGGCTGGCGTTGGAGCTCTCAGGTGTTGAGACTGCCTTGCCTACTCCGCTGCTCTCTCTAGGGCTCACAAGATGCTTCCTCTTGGGAGGTTATATAACTCTGCTGCCCCCATCTCTCCTTCACCACCGCGTTCAGTTTGCTGATTTCTGACGTATGTTTCTCATACTCGCCTACTGCATATTGATTTCTGGCATTGAGCTACATGAGTTGGAGGTTGATGCCTGGTGAAAATTATCTCACCTTTTCATTTGGTCCTCGGCAATTGTGTCGGTGTGCGTAGCTTCAGGTCGTTGGAGGTGGAGAGCTTAGTGTTACAGTTTCGAGATTGTTTAGCAGCGATGATGACCATGACTGAGGTATGTGATTCGTCTCGGAGTGAATTGGTTCGTTGGGAGTAGCTGATACTCGAATTGGGAGCTCTGTAATGTGGGTTGGTTCCTGTGTTATACAGTAACGCTTCATGCGCGGAATATGTGAGATCAATCTTGAATTTTGTAGTAAATAGACTTCTACGTGGTTGCAATTGTTGTTGATTTCACCGCTTCCGGATCATCTTCGAGCTGTATGTGTGCACAAGTTTGAGGTGTTGATCATCTAAGGATTCCTTGCTGTTTGCGGTGCAGCTTTTCTACGGTCCAGTTGAGCCCACTTGGATCGTGCACCCGCATTACCCTGGGTTCAAGCGATCGAATGGCTACTCCAACAACTACGATCCCTACACTATTTACTCCGACCATGCCTACACGTACAGACGCAACCCTTACACGCAACGCAACGCAGTGCCTTCCGCCTCAGCAGCTCAAGAAGGCGCCGCTCTGAGGCCAGGCCAGGGGGTGATGCACCCATATCAGACACAGTATCTTGCCCACGGCACGAATGCAGCCAACGGAGCTAACTTCTCACCCATGTCCCCAGCTCCTGACACCAATCTAGGTGGTGAATCCCAGAACCAGAATCTATCGCAGACGCGCAATGTTTTCGGTGTCCAGGTTAGAAATCTGGCAGCGGCCGTCCCTGAACATGAACAGAGTTTTTGTCGAATTTGGATCCCTATGGTACTACCTTTAACATGCCAACGATTGACTGTTTTTGCTTGGGTGCCCTCATGGTAAATTCAACAGACTCTACATTTCATGATGCCGTTGTGCTGCTGCAAGTGTGAGGACAGAGTGAGGGAGCAGCTTCTGGATCTCGATGGTAAGTTTCCTTCGTTTACCACTGTGTACTAGTGAATGGATCTTCAACTCTCTGTCCCCATTAGATCAAGGAATCTTGTGGCAGTCAGGTTTGATCTCAGCAGCGTAAATTTCGCTGCAGATGTGCAACGAGTCGCTTGTGACCAATGGAACCAGAAGGTAACCGTCACCAGCGGCTTAGCCCCGGAGAAATTGCTCATGCGTCTTCAGAAGATCAAGAAGCGAACCACATTCTGGCCCCAGCAATCGTCTGATAGAGCTAAGGTCTTCAATGGCAACCAGCAGAACCAGAAGCTCAGCAACAACGAGAATCACGTCAGTAACAATGACAAGCATGGCGATAACGTTAATGGGAACATCTCCTCGCCGATGTAGGTCTCAATTTTGGCTTGCAGAGTTGCGCTTAGCCAGCTCCTGTACGTACTAATGCTTTCCACATGTTCGCATGCGCTTCCGAATGTTTCGAATCCCGAAGAAGGGCACATAGAAGATGAGGTTTCCCTGTTCTTATATTTCTTTGTACAGTAGGTAGGAGATAAGTGAGGGGTTTGATTTCAGTCTTGAGTAATCATTTCAGCACTGCCTGAGTGCCTTGGTTCTGGAGAAAATGTGTGGACAATTGGGTGTCATAACATTTGAACACCAGCTTGAGTCCTCTGCGGCACAATGAGCGCCATGCAGATTGTGAGAGTGGAGAAACACTTGTCCATCATACCAGTGTCAAATTTTTATGTACACTTAAACACTATGGTGCTCTTTCCTTGAGCAGCTTTAACATTTTCATGTAACTTTGTTCGTTTGTTTGTTTGTTTGTCCTCGCGATAGCTCTGACTCTCCTCTATGTTCAGCAGGGTATCCATTCCACGAATCCTTTAGTCCCCTTGTTGCGACTGAGGTCAGACTGTGACCATTGCTTATATGGGAATGTCCGGACAAGTTTTGGCCCTTGAAATGAAGACATGGCTACGAAACTGGCATCAACTCGCTGGCACCAATCCACTCAACGTTATGTATATTACTTTCAGCATGCATGCCTCGTCCAAGTTGTGTGGCAGATCGAGCTATAGTCACATGCCATGTCTGATTGGTACTGCAGTCAGAAGCAGCCAATATACGCCAACTTTGCGGGCAGTTAAAGCGAATAGTCAGTGCAATATGAAAAGAAGTTTTTTACTTTATGTTTGGTTCGAGGTTGCAACTAAATATCTCAAATCATATGCGCATGTGCAGTTCCGATCAAGAGAATACGATTGGCTCTAGTCCTTCTACGAAATCTGATAAATTAAATGTTTCAAAAGGGCAAGATGAAACTACACATCTACCATGAAACTTCGATGAAAAGATTAAAAAACTACTAATTTCCTGTCCTGTTTCCTAAGCGGTAAAAATAATCACTTAAATATCACCTAAATAAAACATCCAGTAATATGAGGTAAATGGGGATGCAGAAGCCTCCTGAAAGTACCTGTGTGAAGCTTCACGTCGGTCGCAACATCTCAAACTTCAAGATGATGGTGCTCCGTTGTCGCATCACTTTGCTGCTTTGGGAGGACGCAATCCTGACTCAGTTATGTTGGTAACTATGTCCCAGTTACGTCTCAGCCTACAGGCTGAGACAGCGTCAATCCAATGGAAACAATTAGCCAGCCGTCGAATATCAGTCAGATAATCAGTCAGGATTCAGTCAGTCAAGCTCAGTCAGACTTGCAGCATCTTGTCAGTAAGACATGTAATCGATGCAAAGTCAGGAATACTTGTCCAACCTAAAGGTTTGGAATGAACCCAATTCTATAAAGAGCAGCTCTGGAATGTTCTATTTTTGCACCTGAGATGGACAAAACCCTATTGACCACGTAGTCAGCATTTCTTGCAGCATTTCTCATGGTAACCTCGATTTGCCAACTACCGTGGACCAAGAAAAAAATATATCAATTATCACTAAGCCTGAGGCCATTCTCTTAGCTACCGTGATTGCTCCATTTCTCCTTAACACCTAAATCAAAGAACGACAAACGTGCAGTCTCCTGTGAATAATTTTACTCCCAGAACAAGTCCTTGTCTTCCCCTCTGCCTTGCATGAGCCAGGCTTTCCAAAGTGTACCTCGAACCAAATCATGCAACGTCAGATGAAAGCTCTTGGATGGGAAATTTTTGGACTTGTTAGCTCAGATTGACATGAAAGAGACAACAATCCTTGATTATTACAAGCCTGAACCATGAAATCTTAGATGCTCGAAGCTAAATTCTCAATTTTGTGAAAAAGAAACTGTAGAGAACTCAAATTCTGTAGTAGTCAGAAATCAATTGAGATGTTCTTTTAATAAATCCTCGTGCGTGTACGTCATGCTACGCACATGGAAAAGTCAGAGCTCATAATTTGCCATCGCCATCCGTATGTCATGACCACCTTGCAATCTCCCAGTTCTCGTACATGAGCTTTAAAAAGATCGATTCTGAGTGCATGACCAAGCTCATAATGACCAAGCTCTCACATCCGTCCAACTTTCACTTCAAAGGAACAATTCTAGATTGAGCTTGTCTTCACAAATAAGCAGCGCCAAATTCTTCAAATGCGCCGACTTCTAAAGACGATTGGGGGCTCGGTGGGCTTTGAGGGTTGTTGACGTTGAATTACGTCGTAATGCTGATGTTTGTCAGTCCTGAAATGCAGTTAAATCATTTTCCCCAAGAGCAACTTGAAGAACATGAGGAAGTAAGAAGGGGGCCACAACTGTGTATACTTCATGCTGGACTAAATCTTCCTCCTCCTCGTTACCATCATGCAATGCTAGTTGCGAGTGTCTAGCAGATCGTCTTAATAATGAAGAGGCTGAAGCGTCCAACGATTTTATTCTGCAAATTCGTGACAACGCTGCAATTTCACGCTGTGTTGCGTCGAGGACAGCTGTAGTACACGATCAACATGGAGAGCACTTATTGGGCGGATGGCTTCAAGTTACTGTCACTGTATCAAAAAAGTCTTTCAACATCGCAATATAACCACTAGTACATTTGTCCAGTTGCACTTACTTGCGATCGAGGACCAGCGTCAAGTGGGCACCGATTGAGCAGCTCTGTTTGTTTATGTTCCCCCTCTAGTCTCGCATTGGTCATACGTCGTTTGGAAGGGAAGGTAGAGCTTGGGAAGCGTGCAGTATAATTGAAGGTCCGATGAGGAAGTCTTGAAGTAACTGCGATCCATTCAGACTTTAGAATCGACTTTCACAATACTGTGGCCTTTTCGGAAACTATTTCAAAGTGGGCGGTGACATCTGTCAATTGGCTTGATTCACCGTGGGGATGCAGATTGCACTGTGTTCAGTTCCTTACTAGTCATTGCTCATCAGTCGGATTATAGAGCTGCAATAGAGATCGATGGCACTCTGAAACTTGCCTCCGTTGCTGTACAAAGAGCGTTAGAATATGTGATGCTAAGAATATCTATAGAGAGTCTTTCGTGAACAAGGAATTGAATTCATGTCTCAAGATTAGAAAGGCCACAAATGAGTAGGTCCCAAGACGTGAAACCATTGCATGTATTTTCCAGGACCAACCCAGATTTCAGAGCGATTGGTCACGTACGTTCTCTTCCCTGCGATTGCAAATCCAAATCATACGCAAGTAGAAAAACCTGAGGAAGTGGTTGTATCATCATTGCAGATCAAAGTCGGGAGCAGGAATCTTCCATTGAATTTCAAGCAAGAAAGGGCTGAATTTCTAGAAATACGTATGTTTTATTTAACAGATAAAATGGTCTCAAAACAAACAAGAGAAACACTCTAAAATCGGGTATAGTGAAGCTACTACTGCTCCGAGGCAGTTAACATAATTTCAAAAAGTAGTGCTTGTGCAGGTTCTGAGATCCCTTGAAGAATCGTGAAGAAAATCAATGCTGTACCTGATGGGAGTTACGGCAATTTTGACAATCTTCTCCATTCTCCTCCATACAGCCAGCAATATAGGCATGTTCCTGACCTGCAAGCCTGCAACAATATCACATACTGCTCGTCAGCTGCTGCATCGCGCTGCCTCTGAATTTGGATAATCAATTCCACCAACGCATTCTTTGTGACAGTTTCAATGAGGCTCATCCAGATGGCGTTCATGGAGCAAAAGGGTTGTATGTATTCGGAGATTCCTACACAGATTCGGGTGAAACCATAGGTGTTCCTTACGGAATGACGTGGCCGGGCGTTCCAGGAAATCGATCTTGTGATAGACGCAATGAAGTTGACTACCTGGGTAAGAAAAAAACACTACCACCACCACTCAGCAAACAACCAACACATGAATTCGTGTTTTATTGCAGACGTTCGATTATTGACTGTTTGAGAGGGTTCATCATATCCCAGTTCTCAATTAGTCCAGAATCAGGTCTTCCAGATCTTTCAAAATCTCTGAGGAGATAGTATAAGCAACGCAGCGTACCTGGAATATCGTCTCCTCCCTGATCTGGAAATGCTTTGATCTAAATTTAGAAAGTATTCAGATTCTGCACCCCTTGAGTGTGTTGCTTGCTTTGAACTGCAGCAATTCTTTTCGGTGTTCCAACACTGACACCATGGGAGCATTCAGACAGTAATAACACAAACAACGGAGGCATTAATTTTGGGGTAGGAGGTGCTGTCATCACATACGGTTTAGGATACCGCCCCCTCGCTGCTCAGGTGGATGCGTTCGAGAAACTCGTTAAATAAGGTTTACGGACGACGGGACATCTCAAACATTCCGTTGCATTAGTTTCAATTGGGATAAATGACTAAGGTTGTATGATTTTCACCTCAATAGTGCCATTCCTGTTGTATGAGGTGAAGCAGGGTGACTCAGCGCTCGCACCAACGGTGGTGGATGGAATTGCACTCAGCATAATCCGAATACAAATGCTTGGAATTCGGCATATCATGGTCGCTACCCCAATTCCTGGAACATGCATGCCATACAGCACCTATTGGGTTAACAACTCCACAGCCTGCATCGAGAACGACATAACTAGCAACAAGACCATCCTCCACAATGTGTTGAGTAACTGCACTCCATCAAGACCGAGTGCAGTTACTCAACAATGTTGAACCCAGATCCGACATTGTCATCGTAAACATGACCAACGCATTCCTGGAACTATTCCATAATGGCGAAGACTATGGTGAGTAAAAAAACTTATCAAAGAATTACTTTACTCTTGAAAGCAATTACTACTACTAGTATTATTATTATAAACCCTAAAATACACACACACACACACACACACACACTCCTAAAATAAAAATAAAAATAAAACATTAACAAACTCCGTGAATTTGAAAAGTAGCTAACAAGTTAATTTCATTGAAAGTCTCTTTGATTACAATTTTTTTGTTTAATCTCTCCAATCTTGAGAATCTTAGCATTAACCCTAAGAATATTTGTATTCAGGTATAAGAATTGACAGTGTACAAAAAATCTCTACAGATGGAATGTATGACTTTAATAGTCAACATTTATTTTGTTTGATATATTAAGATGCCATTTGATTTTTTTTAGGTAATTTGAATAGTAGGCAAATGAGAGATGGTGGTATTGAGGCTGTTGCTAGAGTGCAATTCAATGGCAAATCAAGTGATAGTTATGCGAGTCGAAACAACCTTAGAAAGGGGTTGCATCAAGAGGCACCTAATGGCAGCGGTGTTTATAAGCAGATACAAAATTTTAAATATTTACTTTTACAAAATTAAGAATTTTGATTTTATTATCACAATTATTTATTTATTTTTTTTTTTTTTTTATAATTATTGATTTTTGAAATCTGTTTTTGAACA